ATATTGTTAAGTATATATGGACTGCTTAGTCTGTAAGAAGGTTTTTAGTACAAAGCAAAGGTTAAAATACCTCGTTTACCATGGGGTTTGTACGAAGAAGTTAGTCAGCAAGGCTTGCAAGGATTGTAATAAGGAGTTCAGCACCGTTCAAGAGATGCAACAACACGTAAGTAAGGGTATTTGTCGTAAAACGACGGAGTGTAGTTACTGTGGAAAGGTTTTAAGTAGTTGTCAGCGGCTTCAAACTCACGAGRAAAAGCATGAAAGATCGTATCAATACCTTTCAAAGGGATACGACTTGGAAGGGGTGGATTGTTATCAGTGCGGGGATCTCATGAGGATGATTACCTAAGGAATCGAATAGACTATTTTAGGAAGATAAGTAGGACGCTACCCCGTTTTGACATGTTAGAAGGTGTTCCATGGACTAACAGGGAATATTGGAGGCAGCAGTGTGGGAGATGTGGATGTGTAAGAGAAGAGGAATATATCTTTAACTGCCTTAACAAAGATTTAACCTCAGCTTAACATTTTGAGGCATTCTTTTTGAGGGTTTCCGACCCCATTTAACAATATTTTAACCTCAGCTTAACATTCTGAGATGGTTTCTGAAATAGTTTCCGACCTTTTTTTAACAAAATCTTAACCACCATTTAACATTCTGGGATGGATATATGATAGCCTACGCAGCAGTACTAATAACCCTTTCAATATATGGACTGTATTACATGCGAACCCCCTGCTGACTGCATCGTTAAAAAAGAGTCGCCGACCGACGACCCTACTTTAAACGCGCCTAACCACATAGAGGAGACGGGGCAACCCTTCTTTCGATGTCAAAGACCCACCGCCCATCCCGCTTGCCGTGCGAACGCAGGTGGGGGAATTCCTCGCCTTGTAGTATGTAGCGCACCCTGTCAGGCGCCCAGAGAGAATATTCAACGCCGTCGTATTTGAGGAGTAACCGCATGCGGTTCAAATCCTCGAAGACGACGTAATTTTTTATTTCATATGAAACACCTTCGATTAATTCACGCCATTGTGTTTGTACCAATTACCCTTTCGATGTAAGCCGGTTCATATATCCTATGGAATATCTTTAAATGCGTCGACAACGTCTCGGAGGTCTTAAAGGCTTTGCAGCAGAACTTACAAGGTATGCGGATTTGCTCTGCGTATGCGTTAATTGCGCGGCAAATGTCGTCGTAGTCATTACTTATGAGCACCTTGTACCCGTTTTCCTCATATCTTTGCAGGAGCAGCTGTTGATCCGGGGAAAGCACCCCATTACCTTTTGGCGTTTTTAATTCAATACAGAACCCACGGTAATGAACATGCGCATTCATGATCATTAAGTCAGGCTGACCACGTTGGTAGCCCTTCTGCCAGCACTTAATGCGCTTTCCATCCGAGTCCTGTAATTCACCCAAACCTGGTGTTATGAGCATCTGTGGGTAAARCCTGCGGATATAGTTAACCACCTTCTTATGCAGGTCAAACTCATTTTCGATCTTGAAAACCAGCTTGTTTTGGGTGTCAAACCGCTTTTCTATTGCGTATTTTCGAGCACCCAATCCTGAAACACCTCCGCCGTCGACATCTTAGAGCTAAATATTAATYGATACAAGCCAGATTCGGTTACGTACAGGGAATCTGGGTGTAACTTGGAAGGGAGGTGAATCGCCTCCCTTCTAAGCTCACTGACTTTTATCTTATACTTATCACGAACGTGCGCCTTAATAGCATCCTTGGGGTGCTCATATCCTAATGCAGCAGCCACCTCCTTTCCTTTGAAGTACAAAGTTTCACCTTGCACTATGCATTGAAGTTTTGTTTCGTTGTTTTGGAATACGCGTAGCATCGTATACACTAGAAATATTTCATGTTTTTCAGGGTAACTAGGATGAGGGAGCGCAGCGAAGTCGGTGAGCATAGCTCACCTCTAGAGGCAAACTTGTTTGCCGAAATTAATATGCAACGCTCTTTAGCTGATTCATTTCTACGCTCAGTTGCGCGTCAGACACGACAAAGACGTAGCAGTTTATCTTGTCGCCGTCGCCCGCACTGGTGTTCTTGGTGCGCTTGATCTCCAAAGTGATGCCGTCCTGGGTGTTTATCAACCGCAGACCCTGACCATGTAGGTCTTCATCGTTCGTCGTGCGCATGTCAATCCACAGCGCATACTTATCATTAAAGAATTCCTCAGGGCTAATTTGGTCGCCAAACTTGCGCATTGCCTCCCTGTAAATGTCTGCGGGCTTTATCCCCTGGGAGTAGACCTTGTTTGGAACGCCGTTGACATTTATCCCTACGTTGGTAATGTTGGGGTTGTGGAAGGCCTCGGAATCGCGCTTACCGGCCTCATAGGGCTTGGCAAACACCAACATTAACCCCGTGAGACTTCTTCGGGGGAGGTTAATACTTTGGTTAATAACCTCATCCGTCTTGTCCAAGAAGCTAAATGTCTTGTACATTACTACGTGGTCGTAAAGGAATGCCTTGCCGGAGCTGTATTCCATGCCAGCGCTACGGGCCAGCTCTTYGCTGTACACGGTCTCATACTGCAGCTCTAAGTTGGTGATAGAATAGGGATCAACAGCCCCGCTAATTGCGCTGTCCATGCCTCCAATGACGTTCGTAGTGTCCGCCAAGGTTACTTCAAACTGTAACTCGGATAACTGTCTGGGGTAGTACACGCCATGACTCGTAATTACTTCGAAATCCAAGGGGATAACGTACTTGCTACCATAGGCGGTCTTTACCCTCGTCGCGTCTGCTACTGCGGTTGCTCCACTGGAGTCCGTAGGCGCCGGGTTGGTATCGCTGCGAAGCTTACGAAGAATAATGCTTCCAATTCCCTGCTCTATCTTTTGTGCACAGTCGAAGGCTGTTAGCCACAGATCCTTATACGTGGTGTACAGATCGTACCTGTTCAAGTCCAAGAGGGATTCCCCGGCAAACTTGATTCTCATCTTAGAGACGAGGTTCCTGCCCACATTATTGACGGTATAGCGCTTGTCCTTGGTGCTGGGCTGCACCGCTAGGTCAAACCTTAACGCCAAGGTGCCAGGAACTAAGACTAGGTTATCCGTTAGGCGGGGCACGCCTACGTACAAGGTTTCTCCTGGTTTTGCGCTAGAAGGCGTGAATGTGACCCGGTGAAAGGTGCGTTCCGCTTTCAGCCCGCCAACCTGCTTAGGTAATACGTTGGGATTTAACTTTGAGCTTATCATATATAATGGAGGTAGACGAAACTACTGACTTCGACCCCACCACTGAGGAAGGTAAAGAAGACATTAACGACGGCGATGAAGAACCGCTGCTTCCTGCCCCCGATGATTCCCTAAGAAATAGCATCACAAAGGCCCTAAGACATCCCAAAGCACGCGAGTACGTACTTACGCGCGAGCACATAGAGCTAGAGGACTTAGGCACTGTAAACTCGGCCATGCAGCGGCTAAAAGATACGTATTCCAACTTTAACTCAGACGAAGTAAGGCTTACCGAGCGCGGCGGTAGAGTCCTCATAAGCGTCCAAGACCTAAGATTTCCTGATAAGAACCACTGGACAAAACCACAACTCCTCTTTGATGAGAATGGCGAAGTTAGGGGTGACGTGGCGAGATTAAGAGGTTTTCAACTAGCTACCCGAAGCGCATTAGAAAGGTTGGCAACCCTGAATGAGAGGGTTGCGTTAGAAAAACACGTCGAGGGGCTGCAAGAAACGTTGGAAGAAAGGGAAGCAGATTACATGAGACAGAACCAACTGCTTCTCGATGCTCAAAAAAGAGAAGTCAATGACAAGAATCAGCAAATAATAGAAATGAGAGAACAAAGAGACGATGCCCTACGCAAAAAAAACCTAGCCCAAAAGGCCTTCAATCTTGCCCTGCAAGACCTGGATATGAGCAAGGAGGAAGCCAAAAACTTGCATACCACCATAGCCGGCTCTTTGGAGGAACGCCGGCAGTTGGTTGCCGAAATCAACACCAAAGAAGAGCAAATCAGGCAAAGAGATCAGGCCATTGAGGAGCTGGAGGGGCAAATAGAGCGGCAGCAGGAAATAATCAATGACCAGGCTCGCCCTGAAGAGGAAAGGGAGGCAGCTCAAAGGGAAGTATAAACCCTCGAGGTGCGCCTTGCGGAATTACAGGCGCAAAAGGAAAACTTGGAAAAGGAGTTGGGCCTTACCACCAAGGAAAAGGTAAAAAGAGCTCTCATGAAGCATGGTATTCCCCTTGCATTCGCGGTTGTTATTTCAAGCGTAGTAGGAGTAATTCTTAGCTCCCTTAAGGCTACGGGCGCAGGCGTAAAGAAGTTAGGCAATGGTCTAACGGACTTGGGAAAAAAGATGGCAGCCGGTCTTCCTGGGCTGCTTGGTAGTGTTCTTTACTTCGTTATCTAAATATACCGACCGATAACCATGGATATGACTCATCCAGTCCCTAAAGTATTTTATTCTCTTATAAGGTGTTTTCTTACGACCTCCATTGGCGTAATACTGCTCTCTGGTAGCATT